GTAGACGTGTTTGAGTTTGCTGAGTGAAGGAACTACAACCGTACAGCCTGCTATATAATGCAGGGAAATTCCAGCAATAAGCCCACACGGTTGAACTGGAAACTCGACTTGGATCATTGTTGTTGTTGAAACCCAAGGTTCCCAAAGCATTCTTACTCCAAGAAACGACATCAAATTCAACAAATCTGACCTTAAGTCCAAAAAGTCAAACTCACTAAAGTCTGCAAAGATTTGGTGATATATTATCACTTCATCTTTTATAAATTCTCCGTTTTACTCAATGTCTGTATATGTGTATCTCATTACTTACAATTTATTGTACAGCTGTATTGCAGTGTGCTGCTACTCCTTTGTGAAATCCAAACCAGAGTCCTTGGATACTGACATTGTTTTACTGGTTTTCCGCATGGAGAGAAATCTCTTTACCTCAGAGTGACCAGACTGAAGATAACCCTTTCCTAAAATGAGACATTAAACATAATCTAAATATACTGTTAAAGTAGTCTGGCAAGTCTAAAATATACTTACATAATCAAAATGGCAAAATAACCAATGAAATGACTGCTGTTTCTACACCAGGAAACAACAATGACTTTTGCAACACCCCAATGTGAGGACGCTAGTCCATTGCAGACTAACTCCTAGGGTGGATCTAGGATTTAGTCAAGTAGGATTCAGAGAGGAGTTTGGGTGCATGCCCCTCAAGGAGATTTTGAAAATTAGGTCTTTGGCAACATGATTTCCAGTGCTTTGAGGGATGATATGGAGAGCTCAACTGAACCAACTGAACCACCACTGTATCCAACCCATTCCTCCATTAAAATCACCAGGATTTTCTGACCAAATTCCTTGGTACCTATGTTAATTGCTTTTGAGCAGACAGAGGAGTAAGAGCAAAGTGTCTTTCCCAAAATCACACCACAATAACCATGGCCAAAGCTCAAACCTGACCCAAAGTTACCCAGTTTATGGACACTTCAATCTCACTAACCACTCCAGGTAACTTATAGCAGTCTAGGCCTTTCCCTACAGCTAGGCATTTTAGAAAGCTACAAAACCCCCTTTTATTTATACTTGCTATTGAGCCAATCAATCAAGTGTAAAAAATTCAATATACCAGTAAACTTATCCTACTTAAATAAAAATCTACAAGTATTGCTGGCCTACCAAGACTAGATACCATTCTTGTAGTTATTTGCACAAAGGGATCCTGTAGTGCTTTCCTGTCACCAACACAAACTTCTGTCAGACGTACTGAAAGAAAGATAAACACTGATGCTGAAAGAATTCAAAGTCAGCCTTCTGCAAAGAAAAATTATTATTACACCTAAACAACTTACAAAAAATTAGTAAGATTACCTCTTTCTGCCTCAGCCCACTTTTTCATGGCGGCAAATTCACACTCTCGTTCACCCTTTACATCAGTTTTTGTTGCTATTACAATCACTGGAAACTTTAAACAAAGATCTTAGTACATTAGTAATCATCTGGTCAGAAATACAATGTACAATGTCTTGACAATTGACCACTGTAAAAACAAAATGCAGTTTTTCTTTTTGTTCTTCTTTCCTTCACTGTTCCACCTCTTTCTATCTAGAAAATACTTATGGAGGATCTTTAAAATGTATAAACAATAACAAGGCCAGATCTCAATGCAAAGAGCTACATTCTTTACTCTTTATAACGTCCCATGCTAACCAGTACAGAGAAGATGCAGGAGACAAGGCCTATGGTTTATCATCCTCATCCGACAAGACTAGAATATCTAATCATTTGCAGATGTCATGGTAAAGGCAGCACATTCTCTTCATTTATTTAAAGACCCTGAGTATTGGTCCTATCAGGGGCTTGAACCCTCACCCTCCCCCAAGGCTTTCCAGCGCTCTACAACATGAGCTAACCAAGCAAAGTTCAATGGGCTTGACAATGCTGCTTTTTTCAAGCCATGCATGCTTATGCCACCACATGCTAAGGTGGTAAGTTCATATGATAATCATTCTCATTTTGGACATGATGAAATATGTTAACCTACATCTTTTCCTCTACTTTTCTCAATTTCTTTCTTGATGGCTTGGACCTGCTGAAATGACTTCTTTGAAGTTACGCTAAAGACAAGAAGAAATCCCTGCAAAACAGAAAGTCTTTGTTTTGCAAATATTGTATAATTCAAACAAAAAGGGTGTCAAAAAGAGCTTTGATCATTAGGTACACATGCTTACATCTGCTAGACTAAAGTAGTGTTTAGAAAGCTCCCCATTGCTTGAATCCTGTCAAAGAATGAATGAACACATAACAAAGTAAGCAAATACCATTATTTTTGGTACACACTATAAATGCATATGTATATTTATGGGAAAAATGTTGTACTGCAAAACTCCTATAATTTTATGACAGAGGATACTCCTTTTAATTAAGTATCAGCTAAATTCCAGAAATCAAACTTTGCTTTCTGTAGCTGTATCAGCTCTGGTGGTCAACTGAATTACTCAGAGATCACCAAAAGCTCCATTTTTTATGGGTATGGGCAACAAACTGACTCTAGTTCAGGCAAGTTTTGAGTTTTATAGAGAGGGATAAACTTACAAATGCTAATATTTCTTGATCAGTTATACAATCAAATAGTAGTTTTAATTTGAGGGAGGTAACAAGGCATCTCCAATTCAGACCAAAACTGATAAAATAACAGTCAAGACAACAAAATTATTTCCCTGAGAGTATAATTCTTACGTATTGGACACATCCCTGTCATCTTTATATCCAGGTCTAAAGAATTCAGGAATTGGACAAGAGCTGCACTCCTGGATATAATTAGTTAGCACCTTTTTCCAACACATTGTTTATGATGTTCTTCCCCCACCACCCCCCCCCCTTCCACTGTTGTTTTAACAAATTGTTGTTTTAACAAATTGACAAAAAATAAAATTGTCAATTTTTCTGTGCCACCTTGCAGACCAACACTGAAAGGGGCAGGAGAGGCAGTAAGTGTCCCTTTACATTCAAATCTTCTTTCCAAAAATTTTTTCAAAAAGGCACTTTATAAATATTATTTTGCTCAATATTAACAACCTCACTTGATTGCGTTCATCATAAATTATGTGTGCATGTGTCATTTGTGCATTTGTTTTTTTTCTATAAGTAATTTATATATATATACACATAATCTTTTTTAATATTAAAATGAGTAAATAAGCTCTGTTAATTACACTTGAAAAGGCATTAATTAGTTTTAACTGTACCAAACCCTCCTTTATTCTTACTATGTTTTGTATTGTATTTTCTCTTTTTCTGGTATATATATTTCTTCTAATGAAAATCATACTTGCAATTCCAAGAAATCTTTTATATTATGGATGGAGAGATATAATAATAAAAAAAAAGTAGTGCCTAGGAGTGAAGGTTCCATCCTTTCTTTTAACCCTTAAGTCCCAGATCAAATTTTTAATTCTTCTTACTGTCAACCATACAATTCTTATAATATTAGTTCAGAGAATTTAATATTGGATCAACTAATTATTCCCAAATTGATATTTTTCTTTATTCTCATCACTTATCTGGTTGATATTGTATTAGTAATGTAAGAAGAAATTCTGTCTTGGTTACTCACGGGAGTTAAAGGGTGAACTCATTGAACCTAGAAAAGTAACACTACATATATACTGAAAAATTCATACTTATAACTCACCACACCAGCAGTATCAAAAATTCGTACTCTTTCTTTTACTCCTCGTTCAGTATCCAACTGTACTTCATAAATGTCTTCAATAGTATGAAACATTGGCTTCATATTTAATGAGAACAATAACAAGAGAAATTGAACAAAATATCTCCGCGGAAAACCGCTCTATTTTAAAGTTCTGACAATATGTCAAGTTGTACTTTATTTAGCATGGATTTTTAATTCATGCATAACAAAGGGGAAATAGCTAATTATCACTCTAATTTGTTGAACATTTAAGAAAAGGTTACTCTTTGCAGAGGTGCAGCTCTTTGGTTTTTCATCTCCATTTACAATTAAATTCCTCTGTATTGATCTAATTAAAAATAACACATTACTTTAATATTCTTGGACATTCATGGGGTGTCTAGATCATGAGGTGCAGTTAAGTAGCCTCACTACTCAGCAGCCCCATTATATTCAATAATGACAAAGGTAATTCAAGAGAAAATACTTAGCCCCTAAGAGGAAGAGTAGAAAGACAGCGTTTGATCCTTCATCTGAAACATATATCACCCCTTGTTCCCTTGGTGCTGAATAATACGTACACATATCCCTCACTCCCTCCCCACTTTAACGCCCACTGAAAGGATTAACATCTTCCTCTAGTGTCTTAGCTCTATAGCAGGTGTTCTCATTTCTACTGCGCGCTATAAAATAATACATTTTGACCAACAGCTGCAGAGCTTGTTAAAAATTTTAAAATGCTCTCTTACTTGGCCCGGAGAGTGATTTCCAAACACAGCTTGCTCGATCACTGCCGTTTTGCCGACACAACTACCTCCAACAACAACTAGACGTAAAGATTTTGGCATGTTGCCCCACTACTTCCTCACTTGAGAAGGGGCAACGAAGGAAGTTGAGACGGATTTATCCTCTCTCTCAAAACAAAGATGGAAGATAGCGCGGGAGGCCTGGTTATGAGCAAGCGACTCGTTACCAGTGCCATCACGTGTAGAAGTCAACTACACCTTTAACGCGATCTTGAACCACAAAACGCAGCGGCAAATTTCATGGGTAATTTTTTTTTTCAAATTTCCAGAGGATGCGTAAGGTGTTTGCTAATTTATGAATTCAGGGATAAGAAGCTGATGAATGGGTCCCTGACAACTGAGTGCGGGATTCCTTTCGTCACATGCTTAGAGCAGTGGGCGAAAGTTCGTGGGCTAGAACAGAGATTAAGCGATCTTGATCAACCGAAAAGAAACAATCACTGACAGAGGTAGAGTCATTCAGAACCACAGCCAGGAAATGGTCAAAAATGTGACAACAACCGAAATATTTCCTTAAAAAGATAATGTACTGGAACTGCTAAGAAATATTCTAACATTAATATTCCTCGAGTAGAGCTTTTGGTTGGGTTAATTTAAACAGTGACAAAGTTCTCCGAAAAAACGCATTGCTAAAGAAATCTTGAAAGTATAACACTAACGTTAAACAAACTAGTAAGGCTTAGAAATCTGGAACTCGATGTGCGTACAATTATTCTTTTATGTCTTACTTTACAATATAATTCACCTCGCGTTTTTATGAAACCTGTAAAACAGTAACAGTATAAATAGCTTATGAAATGGTCATCGGTTTAACACATCCTTTTGTGTCCTGAACAATGTAATCGCAAGAAAAAATTCTTTTCCTGAATTCAAATCAGTCGTCGTCATATAGAAAGGCGTCCCAGTCATCTATTTCTGGAGCATTCTCCTCTCTTGTCTGTTTTTGTTCTTCTTCTTCTTCACTCGATGAGTCGTCCAATTCATGCCCCATAGCCTTCTTCTCATCAAGGCGGCTCTTAATTGCGTCTAGTCTGTATTTTATCGACGCATAATCCAACTTTCCCTCATTCTCCCCGAAGGGATCCTGTGAGCAAATGAATGTCGTATCTATTGTATCAGATTGCAATTCCATGGTATGTAAAAATGCAATATCATTCTTTGCACCTTCATTCTGAAATGTTTTGCAACAAGACTAAAGAATCAAACCGGGGGGTTGAGGTAATTGGGTCAGTCTTTGCTGGGTATATGGCACTGGTCTATCAAATCTAAACCCTTACCCCATTAGAGTCTTTTCTGTGGCCAATCATAGACCCCACCTTGGTCACCTTTTTGGGCAAATGTAATTTTCCTGTTCCCAACTAAGTCACTTTTTGGTTATGCATCTAACTTCCAGAGCCTTTTAAGTGCATCATCTTAAAAATGAATTGACACATTAAATATAGTAACAGCTTTTTAACTGCAAATCTTCCCCTTTTTAAATTCCTTCTGACCTGACTTTTCTTAAACCCAAAATCCCAAAAATGTGTACCCTCAATCTCGTAGCTCTATAGAAAATTATGGTCCATCCAGTCATTAAAATACGACCCCACCAGCAACATATCCCCATTAACCTATTTCTAGGAAGAACCCTTCCCCCTCCCTAGAAGTCAAACCATGATGGGAACCACATTAATTTTGTCATTTCTTCTTAAACCAGGGACACAAGAAATAAATTAGAAGTACAGCATGTTTGATTATGTCAGAATTAAATTTTTACATCACTATACTTAAGAGTGGGCACCATTCATCACCAGGTGGCTCACACAATCCATAAACTGATAATTCACTTGATGTAAACATTTCACTGCTCTACCTGACTTCAATCTGATGATGACTGATGCACCGCGTGTTGCAAAATATCACAGTCTATTGCAATAATCTTGCAGTTCTTAATGGAATACCCTCACATGGAACAGAAATTGAATTAGATGACAGACAACCCCCCTTCCCACCCCTGCAAAACCTAACTTTCTTCCAGCAATCATATACATGTACTACTTACCTCGACAAAGTGCATGTGACGTCTTCAACACAGTCACCACATGGAGAGAAGAAAGGGGTAAAGACTTACTTACCTTCATCCTTTTTCCATTAGAGAGCATATTTTCCTTAACAACTGATGAATATCTGTCATAAAACCCAAGGAATAACTTCTCCATTCGTTTTCTGAAAAAGTAATTATATTCATAGATAAGATTTATTCCCTTCTTCTGTTTGAATGAATTGTATGATATGCATTGCTGGGTTTGTACCAAGGTGATATGAGAATGACTGCATGACTACCTATAACCATTTTCCTTCCTTCTCTTCTGGATGCTTCATTCTCTTTCCACATTCCCCTTGGAACATCTTTTGCACAGTTTTTACTTCAATTCTCATCCCATTTCTGCTGGTAGTTGAGTAGTTTGTATCAGTTTTGTTATTTTCTTGCCAGGACAAGCACAACCTTGAAAATTGCATTGCTTTTTAAATTACAAGACCTGTGACCTCTCAACCCTTACCCATTCAAATATTATACCTCAAAATTGATTCCTTAAATTTTCAAAGCCCATTCAAACCAACACCTGATCAGGTTACTAATATTCAGGAGACATCACCTTTTCAAACCAATGAAGAGCCACACAATTCATTTTTTCTCATGCTTTTGAGATGGACCCAGAGGTGTGGCTCATGAGGAGCAAGTTCTAGGGGGTGTATATGACCTCTTCTGGAAGAAAAACTAATTAACCCATCCCTGTATGTTCTTAGGTCTAGTATGGTACTGGTTTAGGACACCCTGTTGAAAATGCCTTCCTACACCCCCAGGACACAACCATTGACCATTTACTCTTCCCCTTGAAAATAAAATTTCCAATTATTTTCAAAGAAGGGGGCTGCTTTCTAATGGAGTCTGAGACCTTAACTTCAACCATTTCACTCCCAGCAATGGCCAATTTGTAGTTTTCCCTACATTCAATACACTGTATAACAGAATATAAGCCTTCCTTTAATGACAAAAAAAGGGAATGTCAATGGAGGCACAATTTTTTTGCTCTCATGCTGAATTCTTAGAGCAAAAAATTATAAAAAATGTAGGGCAGACACTGAGAAGAAGTGAATTAATGAGAATTTGGGAGTAAAGGGGTCACCATAATTCTCTACGGTTGGTGAGCCATTTCTTTCTCAACAAAAGTAATTATTAATACCTAATGAAAGTACAACTAAAATTGATTGTAATAAGAAGAAATCACTGATATTTGATCAAAAGCACACACCTGAGAGCTGGAGGAAAATTTAGTTTTCCTTCTAACATATCACAGACAGCAACTCTAAGGTTTTCATGCTGAATGCATTCATTATATCTTTTGCTGTCATCTTTGTAGGCCTCCTGAAAATTAACTAAAACTTAAATAAACTCTCCTTGCATCACTATGTTTAAGTGCACTGTTCCAGAGATAAGTGTCTCATCCATCCAGGCAGCAATATTTTTAACTTGGTATTTGGATATAGGTAGTTTGTCTTATATAATTTTTTCAAAAGTGAGAGCTGCACACAAAATTCCTTCCCATCAGTGACTATTGCATCAATACAGAACTGGAATAAAAACAATTATTTGGCTTAAGAAGCAGTGTGACTCTGAAGGACTTTAACCAACCTTGCCTTCATATCCCGGTTCATTGTGATATGGTTTTTCATTCATAAGAGACTGGATTGATATCAGTAGACTAGAGAGGGTCTGGGCAGGACTCCATGCAGGGCCAGGCCATGTTCTGTGTATGAAAAATAGTTTTTTAGACAACAACATAAGCAATCAAAATCATATGACAGTCAAATGTGATGTGCATGAATTTTCAACACCAGTAGCCTTTGAAAAAAAATTCCTGCAGAGCAAATTAGCTCTTGAAAGACTTTTGACCTCTCTGGTAATTGCTGACATAGATGAGTCAGTCTTGTTAGGTAGACTTTGTCTCTCTTTCTGTAACCTGGGCTGAAGTTATGAAATTATGGTTTTTTTGCCCTACCATGAAATTCACCCATTACATTCTTTCTTGTATAACCATTACCAGTATCACTATTTGTACAAACAGAACAAATTCACAATTTAAAGGCAAAAGAACAACAACAACAAAAAAGTTAAAAGAACTGCTTACCCTAAAATACTAAGACAAACTAAGCCATTTTTGTACAGATTGGGGTTAAATCTGACTCTCCCATTTCCTGTTGTCAATAGACGTACTTTAGGAGGTTTGATTGGGTAATCAGGGGTAAAGGCGATAAGGAAATAATAAAACCCCCCCTCATATGGTGTGCCACGAGGACCAATGACCAAAGCATGAACCTGAAAAAAATAATATTAAATAAAAATATTATTCATTAATATCCCAAACTACAAAGGAATTCTTTCTAGGCACAGATCACTCAACAAAATAATGCTGATTAATACACTAGGGTTGGATATTCTTGTTGGAGTTTTTGGATCCCAACATTGTAACAACACACACTTTCCCTGAAAAACAGTCAAATTTCTGACTCTAATATCCTGTTTGATTTTTCACAAACCTTTGTGATGTCGTTTTCATCTGCTACTGCGTACAGACCAGGAGGTGGCTCTTTGTACATGCTTGTAATATCTCTAGGCAGAAAAAAAAACATCAAATGAAAAAAAGTGAGATTGTTTGGATTTCATTGACATGTTTACCCTTTGATATTGGAAGCGTAAACTTATAACTTCTTGTAATTTTAATATTTAATCCTGCAGTCAGGTGCTGAGCTGTCTCTTGAAATAAAGCATTTTGGCATAAAGGCCTCAGTGTAAAACAAAGCTGAAGGAAAAAACATCAACAATTAAAACTGTCTGCAAAGTTATGAACTAAATCAAAAATTATTGGCTGACCCTCAGTTAGCTTAACCTTAAACTCCCAAGATGTGACTGTTAATTCTCCCTTCTAGCTGGTACACATTTCCCTAGTAAAATATTTGTGAGAATTTGGTGTTAGATTAAGATAACAACTTGTGCCTGATGGGTTCACGTATTCTCATCATCTGTTTGCTGGATAATGTATGGATATTATAGGGAGAAATTACATGCTAATCACTTGTGGGATTTAAAGGATTAATTATTTGTGATTTGAACAACTTGGCCCTGGGTGGAGAGAGACAATGAGAGTAAAGTGTGTTTCAGGAGAACCCGCCACATTGACCCAGCCAGGTTTCAGACCTGGACCTTTTGCCTGAAGTCCAGCATGCTGCCTGTTACACCACAGCATCTCCCACAAGGAGGGGGTTTGACCAGGAGAAATTTGAATTTGGTTGTGCAGTTTCACAGGTTTCAGTTTTTTATTCTTCCTTGCAAGACCATCAAAGAACACTTAAATTATTTCAAGAATATTTCCTTCTTTGATTTAGCTTAACTTACTTTCCTGTGTACAACCGGTTGACGGAAAGAAAATTGTGTTCATGAAACAGGTGTATTTGAATAAATTTTTGAATAATCGATTTTCTCAAGTAAAGACGACACTATTCTCTACAATATTGAGACCAGCTTTTTTGTTGCCTATGCAAATATTTAAAACCTACTGTATAACACTAAGTTCAAAGGAAATTTTTTTAAAACACTTTTCACCACAAACAGAAACATGTCGCTCTTCCTTTTCACTGAAAGCTATAAAGGGTTGTTTCCTAAAATACTTGTCAAAACTTACCGCTCTGCATAACAAATATTAGTATTTACAATAAATCATTCTTCTATCAGCTGGCCGCTTTATTGAAGCTCGTAACGGGCACAGCTTATGTCAGACAGTCAAAACTTAAAATGGAAATAGCTGTTTGAGCTCCCACAAGAGTGAATCATTGATCTCTCGACAATCTGTCGTATGCACAGCCGCTAGCTAGCTGTCTTTCAGTGCCGAGGTGCTAATAGTTAAAGTGAAACTCCAGATGATCTTTAGAGGATCAGAAGGGAGGAAAGTCGAATCTCATTGCCAAATATTTACAGCTCTTACCTCTTGATTCTGAAAAGGCAAAGTGCAGAAAAATTGGCCGTAGGATGTTTAACACGCTGCCATGGGGCTTCTGATGACAGTTCCAACCCGGAACCTTTCTCCGCCATGTTGTGAAAAGTGTGCATTAGTGACGTCATTCATTCATTTCAGACTCAACAATGGAGAGAAGTCTGGGAATTACTCGCGCGCACTTTAAAATAAGTTGTGTGGAGTGAACGCACGTTGGATATGTGAGGGTAAATATCAACGAGGCACGCAGCGCTGAGTTGGCTATAACCAGTCTCGTGTCCACCATGCGCGAATGAAATAATTATTTTATCGAATTTCAACGTTTGGATATTTGGGGCCTTTTTCAATTCAGCTCCGCAACAGTTGGCGCGATGACTCGAAATACGAGCTGATAACCGGAGTTGAGTGAACCAATCAGAACTCTGGAAAAGCAATATTCGGAGTCAAACTTTAATGAATACTCATATCTATTTCTCCTAAAATGTCAGGCCGCCGGACAGGTTTCTGAAAATACTTTTTGTCCGGTAGTCAGAGATTTCTACAGAATTTCCCTTGAAAGGTTTTTTCAAACTTAGTGAGAGTATCAGATGTTTGTTTGGAAATATGGCAATTTCATAACTTCTTTTGTTTTTAAAAGTAGACAAATTTTTCAAGCTTGGTTGTTTATTCGAGTGATTGACAAAATACAGTTAAGATTTATAAAGGTAATAGGACCGCGTGGAGTCCAATTCGGTCGGTAATAACAAGAGTAATTAACAAAATCGGACGACCGCAAGGTGTTAAGTGTCCCTTTAACTTTCCTACCACAATGTCCAATTATAAGCATGACGCGCACGCTTTCCTATTAGTGCTCAAATCGGGCTGGTGATAGCCAATCACGTTCGGGAATTTTATTATCTTTTTGATTAATATCATATGAGGACAATGAAAGGCATCTCAAAGCATCGCTAGGACCGCTTGTTTCCCTGGGCTTTGGACTTGATCACGCGTACGCGGTGAGGCCTGGGGTCAGGAGACGGTCAGGGTGGGGTCGCTTAAGCCCAGCCGTCTTAGAGATGACCATGCCTTGCAATATCCTTGGTAAGTGGTAAACAGTACAACCAACATGCAACACATCACGCATGCATACAGGTAAGCGGTTCCTCATGTGTCTCCCAAATAATCTTAGTGCTTGATAAGTTTTCTCGATGTCTTTATTTCTTGTCGGAAATTATCCTCTTGCTTTAACGACTTACAGCAATCTCACCTAAGCTTCGGTTTTAGACCCAGTTCATGCAAAAAGATGATAAAACAGTTGGCTAAATTAGAGATGGCTTAGAACGCAGTTTTGCACGACAGCTGTTTTATTAGTTATGGATAAGCGAAACTATGATTGCAAACAAAATTTTCTAGGGATGTATGGTATATTGACTTGTGAAGCCTCAACTAACGAGGCACATAGTAGAAACTATGATTCAAGATGCTTTTGTTTACCGCCTCCTCAACCGAAACTTGAGCTTGCCTGCTATTTCTAAGTGTTTTTTGAGAGAAAAAAAATTCAGTCACCCAAGATCATGGTGTTTTCACGACATGTGCAAATCTTCAGGTTTGTTTTTACATTGTCCTTGCGATTGCTAATGATTTTTATTGAGATAAAAGTAGTATTAAAAATGCTAATTTTAATCTCAGTCATCCTGCACGAAAGCCCGGCGTTTTTCCCTTTGGGAAGGGATATTGAGAGTTTTAATGTACACAAAAAAAAAATCGACTTAGTCAACCCGTTCTAACTCTAATAATTTGATTTCCTCTTCTGACAGTTAAGTTACCTGAATTATGCGCCAGTGTGGGAGTGCAGGATTGAAAAGATTCGATAAGATCAAATGATTGAAAATTAAAATTGCACTGGTGTTAATTACAAGAGTTCTAGTTGAGAAGGTAATTTCAAACAGAGTCTTGCTGTTTCCGTCAAAGAAAAGCTATCAATGAACCTTTCATTTGCATTCAATTAAAGATTATCAGAACCGAACAGTCAACAAAAGTTGTTTTTAATAAATTTTCTTTACTTCAAAATTTGTCCTCAGGTGCCAGAAATGTTAAGATCATTAAATATACCAGTATATACTCTAAGTGTTTCGTAAATAGTTATCTTTAAAACAAAGCAACGAAATGTCGTATTTCTAATTAAATGAAGATTTTGTTGATGACTTTTAAAATGAACTCTCCGTGCGAAACAGGTGATTCAATATCGTTAAACTAATAACCACAACGACAGTTAGATAGGGCAGAGAACTCTTCAAAGGCATTGAAATTTTCTCTTTGGAAAAAAGGGTCTTGACGCCAAAACAAGCCCGGAAGACATCATCTTTTGCACTTCTAAAGACATAAAACAAAAGAGAACATAACGAGATTGGCAGAAACGAAATAACTCTTGGGCGTCTGACAGAAATGTCTTCTCCGACCATCAGCACAACACTCCCTTCTTCAGACAACAACAGTACCAGCTTAAATCCCATGACAACTGGCGTTAAAATCGCAGCCTACCTTGTCGTCTTAATTTTCAGTCTTATCGGAAACTCCTTGCTGGTTGCAATAGTGTACAAGAACGCCAACAAGCGAATGCGAACTCCGAGTAATTACTTCATCGTGAACATGGCCTTGGCCGACATATTAGTGGTTGCTTATGCGGTTCCTCAGAATATTGTCTTGACTGTTTATAACTTTCGATGGCTTGTCGGAGGAGTAGCTGGTCAGATCCTCTGTCGCTTTTCCTTCTTCGTTACTCAACTGCCAATCTTGGTTTCTACCGGAAGTCTTCTTATAGTGGCTTTGGATCGCTATTTTCTGGTGTTTTATCCGATGAAAAGAATAATCACGATTCAAATCGCCCGTCGTATAATTATCACCGTGTGGAGTTTCACTGCAGTGTTTACTGCCCCTTTATTCGCCTTGATCGCGGTAGTGGAGGTTCCCCCCGGAATTCTTTACTGCGCCATTGAATTTAAGAAGCTAGGCTTGGCAGTCTCATATTTCTTGTTTTGCTACACCACCATAATAGCTATACCACTTGTCATCATCATCGCTCTTTACGTTGCCATTGGATTCAAAATCAGTCGGGCTGCACCGCCCGGAAACCAACTGCCATCGACTCAGGAAAGGAGGGAACGGATAACACACAAGGTTTTGGCAATGCTTAGCGCTATTGTTGCAGCGTTGATTTTGTTTCGTTTGCCTCTAGTTATTGGACTGATAGTTTGTTTTAGCCGCTTTCATCATCTTTGCGGTAAGATTGACCTCATGTTTATAACGTGGTTTTTGACTCTAACTAATAGCACCCTCAATCCCTGGATCTATTTCATTTTCAATGACAAATTTCGTCATGGAGCAAGGCTTATCTTAGAAAAGTTCTTCCCGTGTTGTTTTAAGGGCGTAAATGGAGTGGAGGCAATACAAAACAGTACTCACCAAATGGTTGGCTTGCCGGTTGAACACTCAGAAACCGTCCATCAGCGTTAGAAAACGTCACGCAAACTTTATGTCACGCTAAGTTGCACTATCGCCTAACATTCCCCAAAGAAAGGTTGCAATGGCACAGTAGAGGAGAGAGTTTAGCTCTCAAATCCCCAGAAGTGATTAACATGTATCTTCTCCCTATGATATTCATACATTATCCAGTGCACAGGTAAAGAGAATACTCAAACTCATCAGGTAGAAGTTGTTATCGTGATCTAGAGGGCTAGAGGCTAGAGCTAGAGGGGAGAATTAACAATCAAATCTTGAGAGTTAAAGGGTTAGAGAACCTGCAAACTTGAAAATTAGCTACCAGTGATTATAACCTCGGTTACATAATCACGCTTTAGAGCTCAAATGGATCAGTGCTACTGCCTGATCCCAGTTGCCTTATAAAGTGTAAAAGGAAAGTAGTTAGTGATTTTGAAAGTGATCTTCGCAGTAATGAACACAACTTAAGCAGTAATGAGAACATGGCCTGATAACAATTCAGACCTGTACAGGATTTGAACCCATGACCTCTGCGATACCAGTGCAGTGCTCTACCAACCGAGCTAACAAGCCAACTGGGAGCTGGTCATTATTTTGGTTCGCAATAAACCCGTAAAGTGATGAATGAAAGCATCTAGTGATGTGAAAGAAAATATCCAATCATCCCTAACACTTAACATGACCATCTTTTCGTTTCTTTTGGTACGAACGGCATTCAGTATTAATTTGTGCTTATACCAAATTGCTCACAATACCGGTTGGCCTTCGACTGTGTAATTTTTAACCCTCCACACCCTAACATCAGTGTGCATATTCTCCATACTGTTTTTGATACATTTCCTTAAGCGCTGACAAGGAGAAACTGTAAAGCAATCTCGAGCGTATTAAGGTGGTGATCAATTCCTTTATTCTCTAGCCTTAAAGTGTGATTGAGAGGTGATATTTTAAGGAGAAATGAAGTCTCACTGAAGCGCGAACCACCTCTGGCAAAATTTTCCTTCTGTGATAAAAAATTTTAGAAAACGTTAATATACATCCATACTTAGGAGTTGAAATAGATAATAGACTTTTAGATGTAAGGAACATATAAATCATATTTGTAATACCGCCAACAGGATGTTAGGCTTGGTTAGGAGAAATGTGTGGTTCTGCATGGAGAGCATCAAAAAGACGTTATATCTTACTTTAGTCCGGCCCAAGCTCGACTACGCGTCCATTGCTTGGGACCCACATTTCAAATGCGACTTTGTTAGACCAGAGGGAGTGCAAAGAGCAGCAGCCCGTTTTTGTACGAACGTATGTACCACACAAGTTTTTGTCGCTGCAACATATCGCTGCAAGATGTCCATGCAAACTTGAAAATTTTCAATTTCCATTTCTTTGGGTCAAATTAAGGGTTACGGTGTAACTTACCAAACTTGGTAAGAAAATTAGACGTACCTGTCTTTGCAATCCAAAGAAATCTCAGGAAACCCGAAAATTATTGCATAGACAAAGCTTCCCCCGAGATGAACCAAAAGTGCTCTGTAAATGGATTACAGTCGAACCGGTATTATTATTATTATTAAAGGGTTAAGAATAGGTTAAGAATAGGATAAAACGCAATTTTAAAAAAATGCAATTTTCTTGTAACATTCATAAGAATAAAGTTAATATGAAATACGTTGAAGAAATTTCGAACTAAAAGAGCTAAGCTAACATTAATTTCGGGAGATGAAAATGGGATGTATTTGACTCGGGAAATTATTCTTAGTACATTTTGGGTGGTTCCGCTTTAAGTGACCGTTCAATACAGGTGGAAGAGGGTTAAGGGTGTTTAAAGGGGTGAAAATGAAAAACTTCAGTAGTGCGGAAAATTTCGGGACTTTGACAACCGACTGCTCACTACAGGTGGCCGCTCAACACAGGGGGCCGCCTGAGGATCGACCGTATAATGTTCCTCGTCCGAAGTAAATTATTTGGCTCCACAACCTGCCACCTTTGCTAACATAACAAGGCCGCGAGCATAAACACTCCTGTAAATAGAAACACCACGGGAAGGAACTCATTCAAAAAACCGATCAACATTTCCTTACTAGAAATCTAGGAACCAAGTCTTGTATTTATGTTGATCAGCGAGATTAGCCTCTAACATTTCAGAAATCTTTTATTTTCATCTTCTCACTCAAAAAAGGGATCTCAATGAAGCTAGTCATAAAAGGACAAAAACATTTAGGCTTAAAGCGTAAGAATTGACAAATTTAAACCGTTGGCCTTAAAAAAAATTAACTGTAAAAAATGTTTCCTGTATCTATAAAGCGTTTTTTTTTTCTCAAAATATTGGACTGTTATGTAACCTTATGTGTTTTAACCATAGATAGTTTTTTTCAACCTGCTTTTTCAGCCTTTTCAACCATGGAAACTCGCACGAATACGTGAAAATATTTCACTGCGGGTCTTTTTTTCCTGAGGCTTTCTTAGTCTTCTTACTGTCGAGAGAGGTTTAAAAAATATTATTTCTCGTCTTTGTTTAATTTCTTTTATGAAATCTCTACGCGCACCAAGTCCCTGTAGAAGTCGAACCAGAGATCGTTCGCTATGTTCTAATGAGTAGTACTGGTGTTCCCCTCGACTGTGTAGGCGTGTCAACGCGTGTCAACGCGTGTCAACGCCGGCGGTGCGTGACGCGTCTACCAGACCATAGGACGGTTCATTTCAAAATGTTTCGTAACTCCAGCGTTTTGAAAAGTTTCGCAATGTCCTTTTTTGAATGACTTTAAATGTCTTTGTTTGACTTCTAATCCTTTTCATGGACATTGTTATGTATTCCTTAGGGGCGGCTTCAAAAGTCTTAGGAAAAATAAAACAAATTAATCTACATAGAGACTTAGAGGACAATGAAAATGCCCTACTCCTAAACTCTCGGATGAGCTATCCCGCAGGGTGCGAACTTACCCCGGGAGAACTATCTTGTCGGCTAGAACTCAACAGGTATCACGCCGAGAGTTGCCGATTTGTCGGGGCAAAACTTCCAGGTGGAGCGCAAGGAAACACGCAATGCAGACATGAGGTTTTAGTCGTGAAACACGCGAATGAAGTACCCATTAAGCCTGTGTGGTTGATTCGAAAACTACTCATTGTATTTAATCAATCAATCAATCAATCACTTTATTTAACGTGGTCAGAACGCTTAGCTAAAAGCTAGTTTACAGGTACGCCACGAAATAAAAAGAGAAAAGGAAATTATAAAGCCTTGTGAAGGTATATAAATTTAAATAAATTAAGATTAAGAACTAGCTTATATTAAAATATAAGAATTTAACAATGTAGTCACCAAGTAAAATGTATAAAATGTAATCATTAAAAACAGTAAATATAATCAAGGATAGATCCTCACCGCACTAGAGTCCCGTGAGATCTAATGTTTTAAAGTAATTTTTAAAAGTAGTAAATGTTTGTATCTTTCGAGACTCGTCCGGTAAAGCGTTCCATAATTTCGATGTAGCATATCTCCATGATCTTAACCCGAAGGTTGTTGATTTTACTTTTGGGAGGTCCAGTATTGTGCCCCTAAGGTTATAAGTGGAGCACCTTACTGTTATAAGATCACGTAAGCTTTTTGGACCTGCATCACTGGCTAATATCTTAAAGACAGTGGACAGTATTTTCGCTAATCGCTGTTCACGAAGACTTGAGAGACCGATACGCTTACAAAGTTCCTCATAAGGCGAGGACTTATCTCTAAAAACAAAACGGAGCGCACATTTGAAGGAGAAATGTTTTGTCTGACATGAGACAATGGACTTTGGACGTAAAGAAGCTTATTTTATGAAAATGACGAAAGGAATGGCTAGTTTAAGCATCTAAGCATGACATTTCTGCATGAAAAACAATTTTGTATAGTGCACTTGTAAATCACGTGTCATATAAATCGTGCCGAGCTCATTCTAGGCAAGAAAAAGAGGGACAAACTTTTTTTAAAATCTCCCTCATCAGCAACTGGTAAACAGAGGTTCTAAGAGCCACATAATTTCTTTAGAGTGTGGCAAGTTACCTTCAAAAAAGAAAAAAAAAATGCCGGATAACAGAATCTAGCCAATACATTTTATCACGAGAGAGAACCCCTGTAGCGTTAAAATGATCATCTGCTGCTGATTACTTAAAGTCACGTTCCTGCCTGCAAGCAAGCTATTAGGCTATAGTCATGTACTCCATCATAACTCACGAACTGGACAAGAGTGATGACAAACAAGAAAGCGTCACGGAAATTAATTTACAGAATGCCGGTAAATGATCATTCGATCGCTACCAGTGAAAAAGCGCACGAATGCTGCACTAAAAGTCAACCAATTATCTTGAACTAAAAGAGATTTCTGTTAAGATTTCCGTTCTAATTTTGAGAAATACAGACAAATGCCACGTGAAATGCCTTTATACTCTAACGCTCAGCTTGATGCCAGTAAAACACGATTCAGGGGAGGAAAATCTCTGAATTTTTGCTCAGATTTCTCAGTCATTCCGCTGGTGGACTCCTTATCATTAAGTATTCAAGAATATCCCTTAAAGACTAATTTTGTTCAAAGAAAGTACCCTTCACCTGCAGAGTATGCCATCCGGCATCACCGACGCTCAAGCGACAAAGAGACCTCTGCTTAACATTTATTTATGGTTCCTCCAGGTCAAATTTTTTTTTTTTTTATCACTAGAGCGGATTTACGAATAGCATGAAAAAATAATAATGATGATCGTTGCTAGATTGATTCATAACTGAAATTGAAGCCATTTACTATTGGAACATAATTACATAACACATACATCTTTGGCAATTCTCCTTGAAAAAATTTACAGCCTCGCAAATTTATTTAGAAATTTCGATATTGAGGCAACACGATTAACATTTTAGCTGTGGTGAAATATTTATAATTTTTTTTGTTTTGGTGAGGTTAAGTCTGGATCTGTACCAATGACACCGTAAGCCGGACCGGAAGTGTTTTTTTATTGGTCACATTTCCGGTAACACCAAAGCATGTCGTTCACGTGTGTAATAGCGCCAAAGTCCGCTTTTTTATCCAAACAGTTACTAGTACACGTTTCTCTATCGGGTCCAATATTTTGCCTGTTAGCTCGTGCGCGAGTGTACAGTACAGAGTGTATCCCCAAGTTTTTCAATTACTTTAGCCCTGCGTACTAATTAAAGTCTATGTCTAACTGAAAACGTGAACTCAAGTCAAGAGACATGGTTCGGTCCAAGCATGGCTACCCGAGTAAACAGGGGTTATACTCTCCGGATCTCGAAAAAGAAGCTTGTGGTGTTGGATTTGTGGCAAAGATAAATGGAGAAAGAAGTTACCAGGTAAAGAGAGGTGTTGTGTTGTTATGCAACTTGTTAGTTGTGCTGAGAGTTGGCTTGAAAGTGAATTGAATCCTTAAATTACACGGTTTATCGTAGAATCGACACGAATAGTAAGGTTATGAAACAGAACGATTTCGCAAATTCACTTATTTCTTTTATATATATAATCGCTTGGAAATCGCAGTTTACTATTTAAAACGTTGCTAGCCTTGTCGATCGTTATGTAGAATTCTAGTATCACTTAAACAACGGTTTTCATTCGAGCGAATATTGCTTCAACTCGCCGTCATGTGTCTGGCTCGAGGAGTAGTTTCACATTCATTAAGTATTTTCCCGGGTTTTTCTTCGGTCCACGACCCTCAGTGAGAATTTTTGGCAAAGTGCAGGGCCATTTTTTAGTTTGTTTACCTTGTCTTTTGACTTCGTTTCAAGATGCTTGCGTTGAAGGTTTTCCTTTACGTATTAAATATTAAATATGCTAGAAAAAAATATCAAGGTGACTTTGTTTTCGTGTTGTTATCACGCAAGACACTGTTGACCCTGGTTGTGTGGGCTCGTTGTTCGCTTTTAACAATACCTGTTTCACTCGGGCCCTTGTCTAGCCATCATCTGGTCGTGTTTCAGTAGAATTTACATTCCTCACTTGCACCCAGAAACCCTTATTTATTTCGGAGGTGTGCATGTTAATTTTCAAGTCTTTAGCTAGAGAAACACAGGTAGCCCGGGTAACTCCCGAAACGAAGGTGAATTTTCACCCTAAACGAGACGCTCGCAAATTTTAAATTTATTTTAGTATCATTGCATGTCAGTTAAGATAATACTGTAAATTTCTTTTATTATTGCTTAAGTAAATTTTTATTCAATTTTTATCCTTTTGTCATTAAACAGTTGTGTTGTTAGATCCGGTCTTAAATTATTTATCATTCGGTTGATTACATTAGTCTGTGTGTTTTTGTTTTGAAAAACATCCTTGAACGGATTTTGGAATTTTTTCATATTCTTTCTTGTAAAATAATCCACCTGATGGTTGAAAGTGTTGTCAAAACTTGTCTTGTTGGAACTGTTTTTGGCACACGCCCGGAAAAAACCACACCCACAGATTTATTTGCAACCTGTTTTGCTCCTTTTTTGTTTTCTCCCTTTGGAAGATAATCTTGTTTTGAAACGTAGGATCATATTACTTTTGTCACCGTAGATACAAATTTACAGGGTTGTGTTTACCGTGAAATTTATCAGAAGGGTGTCCCATTGGAAAATGTTTCATCGACATCTATACCCAATTTTTGCCTGCTTCAATGTTTGAATGTAATTCTATTTTTAGAGTAGATGGTATCTGCACTATTAATAATACAGAGCTTATACTTTTTTTTGGCTCTATAAGCTATTTTTTTGTTGATGATTGTGAAATTGAGTATTTTTATCCATGAGCTACTGATTATGCAATGTTTTGTATCTTGTTTTTAATGTTTTTTACAAGTTAGAGAGTAAAATAATTTGATCAATTAAAACTTTGGTGAGTTTTGGGTTTTTGAGATCAGATGAACTGAATATGTATTTTTTGTTTGAAGTGTACTCGTTTTAAAGTGCAACCTATCATTGGTATCAAGCTGATGGAATTGTTTGAAAGTCAAAAAGGTTAACAGAATTGTTTTAAACCTTTTGTAAGCACAAGGCAAATATAGTAGATGAATTCTTACTGGAAAGTTCTTCTGTTTGGAAACTGTGAAGCATTGTTTCTTGTCAAAAAAATTACTCTTTTTTTTAAAAAAACTCCCCAAATATAGACACATTTCATTTAATTATTAATTTCAAACTGTGATGGCTTTGTGAAGGTGTTATTTTTATGAGAGCGACTGGTTAATGTAATTCAGAAATATTTCTGACTGGTTAATATTTTTGACAGAATCTTATCAGTAAGGGAACAGACTGCAATACATAATTCACTTTATTGCGCATATTTAAAATGTTTTTCAAATTCTTGATGTCTCATTTTGCAAAATATTATAAAGTGCTACCCATCACATCCAATAAACATATTTTTCAAAAGTGATAGGAAAATTTTAAGATTAGTTTTTTGTTAAGCTGAACTGAAGTCAGTTTCTCATTTTAATAGTTTTACTGTCTGTAGTCTTGAAATTACACAGATTAATTTTTCTTCTGCATGTTGATAGATACTGTCAAGAAGGAGTCATAAGTATTTAAGTTATACAGTGTTAACAGGAGTCATGTTTGGCTTATATCCTAGAGGCTAGTAACACAAAATTTGAAAGAAAGTGATAATGAAAAATTTGTGTGCTTAGTTTCATGATAAGAAAACATTGAAGACTTTTGCATGAGTCCCAGCCAGAATTTATTAATCAAAGGGCTCTTGGAGCCAGCTCGTTCATATTAAGGCTTAGGTTTGTATCGATTTCTGGACTCATTGAATATAGGTACAGTTGACTTCAGTTTATGTGAACTTTCAAGACCTATGGAATAAATTTTCTTTTATTTTTGGACTGTTGTGTGATAAGAAAACTTATGCATTTGTTGTGATGGGAATTGGGAAAAAGGTTGTGTGGGACGGGCAGAGGTCATTAGGTAGACAGTGTCCTTTTTGTTGGTGTGTGTGTGTGGGGCGGAGGATGGGCTGGGTGGGCATAATCAGGTATCAAATGTTGCTCTAGCAGCAAAATATCTGTAACCCTCATCTTTCATGATCATTTGCACTATTGTGAAATATTCCATGCCCATTTCTTGATATCTTTTGTTTTTAACAAACCGGCCATTGCATTTGGTTTCTAATAAAGCTGCAACAATTGTTCTTAGTAGTTAATATTTGTGTAGTCACCAAACAGATGAGAAATAAAACCACCAGGAAAGTAATCAAATGGCCAGTCGCGAAAGCAATGCTTTGCTTTTTCCTATAAAAATTCGCCAGTTCCTCATGTAAGCCAATAACAATATAAGGCACATAGGTGAAAATCAGTGGGTGTACACCCCTAAATGTTGAAAATATATCAAATCAAAGGAACAGTTTCAGTCTCAGTCCACACTTTTTTTTTTAAACAAAATAAACACATGACATGCAAAGCTGTCAATTGTTTCTCAAATACTGCACGTTTAATATTCAATGGTGACATATTAAGTTGGTAAATTCTGTACAGACGTCACACCAACCAACTGATGCACAAAGCAAGAAGACTATATGAAGGCTTGAAATTATGTTTCAAGAAAATGATCAAGGAAGTGGCAAGGAGTATTCCACAATAGTGCAAATAATCATGAAAGATGATTGCGAAAAAGTGATTGCGTGACGCGTGGTTAGTTGTAAGATGACATGTTATCATGTATCAGACAAAAAAAAAAAATGTATAAATTCTCAGTCTGCATTTTGTACTGACCACATTGGTAGTGCTGTTTTTGTTTGAGTGAGCCTCAAGTCTGGACCAAAATATTGACGTTAAAAAAAATTTTATTGAGACTATCTTGGTCGCTATGATTGAAATGTGGAATTTATATTGAAGTGCTCCTAAGGACAAGTGCAATGATAATGCAATGATTACTTTATACCAACTGAAGACAAACATAAATGCACAGCTTACTAAGAAGGCTGCCTTTGATGCCCTTTTGCGTGGTCTCAGCATGAGTTGAAATGAACCCCCTACCAGTCCCCTAGGTGTTTATATATTTTGGCTTTTTGATTCAAGTTGCTTTTTCAGAAGTTCAGAAATGTGATTTGAGGTTATTATTTTTATAAAACCATACAAACATTTTATTTCTTTCCACATGAGTTTCTGAGCTTCATCAAAATTAATTTTGACTTTCACTAAGTGGGGAAAGGTAGCATGTGAGACTACTTCCATTTGTGGTCCACAATGCAATGTCCATCTACAGAATACAACTTCCATCCACAGGCGACAACTTCTGTCAACATCTGCTTCGTTGCTTTCAGCATGAATGTTCTAAAACCAGATCACACTTTAGTTTCATTTAGGTTATATGTGATAAGATTTGTCAAAGCTGTATGCTTTCTATGGTATATAACAAAAAAAGTATATAACAAAAAATAATTTTTGTGTTCTGTTCTTGATCTGACTGCTAAAAAGAAGAGTGGGAAGCTTACTGACAGGAGCACCTTAAAAAGGAATACTATTTTGAGGGGTTTTAACCTATAAACATAGACTGACTATGGTTTTCACAAAGATATGAAATTAATGGAAATAGTGAAAAGTAATAGGTGACTTTTTTTCCTTGTCACAGGAAAAAAAATATATGAAAAAATAGGCCTTTAAAATTTAGCTGGAGAATTCTCTATAGAAGCAGTATAATCCTCTGATCTCATGTTCCCAAAGTACACCTAATTGACAACTACACAACCTGGAGTATGTACCTATCAACTGAGTGGGGAGGTCATATGGAAAAATGTTTGGCTCAAGGTCATGATGTATGGATTGAATGCTGGAAAGTCTTGACATGATAACCAAGAGCCAACTGTTTTCCCTGTTTGGCCCAACCAAACTCAAGAGGCAATGAATCTTTTATTATGTGATAACTCTGTCTGATGAAATTTTCAGTCGTGTTTTGAGATGAATTAAAAAGGAATTACATTCATGAGCAGGGTGTGTGCTGGACATGTAATTAAAGGAAGGTTCTAATATGAAAACTTCTTCTTTATTTCTTTGAGTCAGAACAAGAAACTTGTGAAATCATAACTTTTCCTTGCAGAAATATATCAATAGATGTGATCTGCACATGATGAAAGCTTTGAGGAAAAATTTTTTTCTTTGAAAGAGAGCATTTCACTATTTGAACTGGCAACTAGTTCTGAAAAGAGCCGTTAGATATGCAAAGTGAGCAAGCTGCAAAATACAATACCTTAAGTTATTAAACAGAATGATGGAATGGAGGACTGGTGGATCTGCTGAATGGTGGAATATCTTGAGGTGCAGAAAGATGGAATATCCTAAAATGCCAAATACCTTTTTTTATTTAACAAAAGCCTTGAAAAATGGAATTGCAATAAAAGAATAGATTATTTACATTTAACAAGCAACATTAAAAGAAGCATTGGTAATCATTATTGCAGCCCAGAGGACAAGGGAATCATGAGACTTTGGAACTAGCCCCTTTAAATTATTATATTACTATTGTTATCATTATTATTATTATTATTGTTGTTAATATTATTGTTTCCATTTAATTATTGGTTGAATGTCAAGTAGACAATATATTCTTGCATTACCTTTGTCTTGTGAAACAGGGTACTCATAAATATGTGGTATGCAGCTGGTTTTCTGTTTTCACGTGAGAAAAATATGCCGCAGCACTCACCTTCTAGCATCATTATACAAACCCCTCATTCTTTTCAGTACTACGGAATTTGTGCTATATCAATACCCACATGCAGTCTTTGACTGTCAATTTTTAATTATTGTCTTAAAGGTGTTGTCTGAAGCACTTACAGTGCTGGAACGGATGAAACACAGAGGTGCTGTTGGGTGTGAAGAGAGCTGTGGAGATGGTGCCGGTGTCATGACAGGAATTCCACATGCTTTCTATGAACAAGTTATACAGTAAGAATTTTGTTTATAAACTTTGTGATTGTGTCTAGTGCAGTGGATGTAACAAACTGTAAACTTGATCTGGCAGATTATTCAGTTACAAGGTTTTCATCAAAGACCCCAGAAGTCTATGCACATGAACTGCTGCTCCCTTCTATACAAGAAAGCTGGGTAAATAAAAAAAGCAATGTACATGGTATTTGTGCTATGTTTTAGGGAAGGGAAATTGCTTTGGCCTATATTCAATAAAAGAGAACAGTGACACATTTGGCAAACTGTTTTGCATTACTTTGTTAAGATAAAAGAAACTCTGTCTTTGCACAGTGATACTGACCTGCCTGTGGGAAAGTCATACTGTTTGTTACGTGCATGTCTAGACTCATTCCTATAGTTACATTGTGTATTACTGAAATATGTACTTGTGGGACCTTCTGTGTTTGAATCAATTGGGAAGTTGTAAAGGAATATGATAAAATATTGAAAGACTGAAATAAATTGCTAGAAAATGTAAGAGGAAACACACTTTATTAGGATCAAGCTGTATTTTTATCTCTCCATGATTTCATAAATTGTTTACAATTAGGTGATATTGTATTTGGATACATTTTTTCACCCTTCGACTGGATAATTTATTTCAACTTTCAGAGAAAACAAACTTGGATTCACATTGCCCATAGCTGGTGATTATGCAACTGGAATTTTCTTTATTGATACAGATCCTAACAAGGTAAGCTGATTTTAATAATGGCAAAAAAGCTTGTTAACCCCTTTAACTCCTAGATCAACTGTCAACCATACAATTATTATAAGGTTAGTTCAGAGAATTTAGTATTGGATCAAGTAATTATCCCTAAATTGACATTTTTCTTTTTTTCTTATTATTTATCTGGTTGATATTGTATTGATATTGTGAAGAGAAATTCTGTCCTGGTCACTCATATTTGCATATTTGGTCACTCATATTTGCATCAGAGTCTTTGTTTCTTGCTTCCTGAATGATCTGTGTCTAATAATCAAGTTTGGGAAATAAAGAATCAAGATTGGATGACTCTGAATTGTGTCACCGATGAAATTTGTATCAGTTGTGACATATGCGAGTCATTCTGGATATCTTGACTTTTTTAAGTATTTGTGTTCAATGGGAATGCCAGATATTTTTGTGAAATCCTCTTTTTTTTTAAACTTAGAACAAGTCTGAGTGCTAAACATGAACTTGTGGCTCACTTTTGAGTAAACCACAAATTTTTACTTGCATTTTCATGTAACCCTTTCCTGGAAACTGACATTTTATTTCTAGCAACAATAGATTCAAATGACATAAAGCTAACTTTGAAATATTGAGCTTCAAGCCCTCGTAGGCAACCTACTCTAAGACAGTCACCTTATGATGGACACTTGTGATAATAGTTTGTACAAATGCAGTGGACACTTAAAAACTGAAAATGAATTAAGGTAATGAAGAATATCCATGAAATTGAATCAGCGATCAGTTTAATTTGAATCTCTCATGTTTATTTCTGCATCAGGCCAAAGTATGTGAAGACATGTTTTCAGGACTTGCTAAGGAATGCCAAATTGAGGTATATGTGAAACTTACAACATTTAGTTTTCTTGAAATATTTTGGCATGGATTATTTCCTCTGTTTTTCATATCTTATATTTTCTCTGTTGTACACTAGTTTATAAGGTATCTTTCTGAAGTTTCTAATATTTCTTTCTGATTTAAATGGCTAGGTCCTCGGTTGGCGGGATGTGCCATTTGACAACAGCATGATTGGAAAAACTGCAGTTGAAAGCCAGCCACTAATCAGACAGGTACAACTTTCAGTAACTTGGAAACTGGAGCCCTTTGAAATATGACTGCATATAGGGCTTGCTTGAAGAATGTAAATCTCTTTTTTTTAGGTGTTTGTGACAAGTTCACTTGACCAAGAAACATTTAAAAAGCAGGTATGAAAACATTTATTCAAGAAACAATGAAAAATCAATCAATGGTTATTGTGAAAAGAAATCCTGTATTTTGATTGGCTCTGGCTACTTGAAAGATTGTTCCTAATGTCTTAATGCCCACTTAGGGCTTCCTTCTTTGTTCCTGTCTTAATGATTACTCTGGTTGTATTCAAGAAAAGCACTTTGCCATCAATCAATCCATGTTTTTTCACTGTGGAGGAGGGGGGTGGGTGGTTGGGGGTATTGGTATCACTCTTTTTTTGGATTTTACAGTTCCCTATAATAACTCTATACAAATTACATTTTCATCCATCTTGATCCACACACACATCATCATGCCTCTCACATTAGGATTGCCAAACCATGGTTCCTGCTTTCTCCTTTTGTGGCTGCTTCAATCACAAGCAGGGGTAATTGTGCTTGGAAGTTGGGAAGAAGGTCTCAGACAATGTGGAGCTCATCTTTATTTATTGATAAATATTATTTTGATCCTTTCTTGAATTTTCAGGTTTATCTCTTGAGAAAAATGGCTACAAATAGAATTGGCACAAAAAACCGGCGGTTCTACATCTGTAGTTTATCCTGTGACACCGTTGTTTACAAGGTATTTACTATGTTTATTGAATTGGATAATATATTGCTTAATGAAATTTTTAGGATTATCAGGAGGTGGCATGGGGGAGTGGTAAGGGTGCTTGACTTGTTAACCAGTGTCCCAGGTTGCCATTCACTGGATTTGTTCTTGGTCACTTTGAGTTCAACTCCTCATCTGCACTGTGTTGCAGCCAAACTGGACTGCCTGCTGTGAGTTGGGATTTTCAAGCATTTAATGTTTATTTCAGTCATTGTAAAGTGCTATTGGATAGTGATGGAAGTAACACTATTTAAATAATAAATTTAAAATATTATTATTATTATTATTATTATTATTATTATATATTATATTATTATTATATATATATTATTATATATATATATATTATTATATATTATATATTATTAAAATTATTAAAATTGTTGTTATTATTATTATTATTATTATTATTATTATTATTATTATTATTATTATTATTATTATAAATTAACAATGATTTTTTGGGATTATGATCTCAGGGAATGTTAAAGCCAGACCAACTCCAAGGATTCTATTTAGATCTGCAGTGTAAAGATTATCGGTGAGAACATTGCTTTACAATATTACAACAGCTCATGATAGATTATTAACTTCTTCACTACTTGTTATTGATTTGTGTACATGTTGCATGTTGATGTAAAGAGCATCCAATTAGGACTTTCAAATTAATCTTTTCATTTTTAATTATCTTTAATTGATTTAATTCCTTGAAGTTTCCCAATTAGATTTTCATGGAAAGGAGGATGCCTTTCAGGGGAAAAAGCAAAATAGTAACATGTTGTAATACTCCTTTTGTTTTGAATTTTGATTTTGTTTGTCTTGGGATAGGACCCATTTTGCTTTGGTTCATGGAAGATTTTCCACAAACACATTCCCCAGCTGGGAGAGGGCTCATCCAAACAGGTTTGTGTCTTTCAACTTTGTTTTGTCAAAATTTTTTAAAATTTATTTTTAAAATTGCTATTTATAAATTAATCCATTACACTCTAACATCTGTATATAGAGTGGTCATACTTTTTTTTATACATTTCTTTTGGTACATGCAAGGAGAATTTGTCTAACAATCAAGAGCTTGTTGAGTTTGCAATTGTTTACTTTATTCTTATGACCTTGGTGTTTGATTCAGGGGTGATGCTTATTACTCTTAGGGGTTCAAGGGATATTGAAATTTATATGTTGTGCTAGTGGCAAGTGTTATGGTTGCATTTGTAGTGGAGGAACTGCAGTGATGATTATGATGATGAAGTAGATAATGTTGATGGTAATAGAGATTATGATAGTTATACTGATGGTGAGAGAGACATGATTATTATCAGAGATTTTACTGATCACTGCTGGTGTTTTGTTAAATCTTGTTGTGAACAGGTAGAAAATAACTTTGAAAAAACCTCTCTCTCTCTGTGATTTGAAAGTGAGTTTTAAAAGTATCTTTCTCCTTCCCTCTACTGAGAGAAGGAAAAATAATGGTGATGGTGATCATTACTCTTTTGTTATTACAGATATCTAGCTCACAATGGAGAGATCAACACAATAAGAGGAAACATCAACAACATGAACACAAGAGAAGGAACCATGGTTAGCAAGTACTTTGGCAGCAACACCCAAAAGTAAGAAGACTGAAACAGCACTTAGTGCTAACAAGGCTTATGAAATTTAAGGAATTAAAGATACACTCTGACACTTTGTAAGAACAGCTAAAGGCACCATTAAAAAAAAAAAAAATTTCAAGAATAAATAAATTGGCCAGGAAATTTGTGGGCTAGTGGCTGAAAGACACATGGCTGTGGTAAGTGTTAATGAACTTAAAAGTTTTTATCAATTGATTTCTGTTCCTCGACTTCCTTAGGCTATTTCCTGTAATAGAAGCAGACTTGTCAGACTCAGGAAATGTGGATAACGTTTTGGAACTTCTTGTCATGGCTGGAGGACGTTCCCTCCCAGAGGTATAATGCACTACTTTAAAATTGCCCACCTTCGTGTACTATTTTGAGTGAAATTTGTAAAGTTAGAGGGGGGAGGGGAGGGTGATGAGAAACAGAGGAACAGTGCATGATCTAACGTGTAATTCTTACAGCTACATGCATAACTATAAGAAATGCATGGCATGCTGTAAGGAGAATTTGTTTTGAGATCTTGGAGGTGAAAAATGGAAGGAAAAAGAAAAGTTAATTGACAAGGGTATCTTTTTCTGTATTTGAAAGTACATCACTTTTGCCCTAAATTATACTGATCCATAAATATATGTTCTGTATGTATTCAGTGCTATTGTTGTTATCTCTTAGGCTGTTATGACTATGGTTCCTGAAGCATGGCAAGGCAACAGTTTAATGAATACAGAAAAACAGGATTTTTATCGCTGGATTTCCTGTATGATGGAGGCATGGGATGGACCTGGTATGTGATATAGTCTGAGCAAAACCAGAAATGTCATGAAGCTTTTAATTTCTGAAGACATGTAGGAGTTATACTATTATTTAACTACCTTTATTGATAGTGATGCTTCCAGCTTCTTCATAGTCTTATAACTTGGTTTGTGTTGAATCACCAAGCCAACCTCTGCCAGTTTGATAGCAGATCAGTCTTGACTTAAATCAACACCGCTAATACTGTTTAGTAACATCATTTATTTCATTGCTTAATAACAGCTTTGTTTACATTTTCTGATGGACGATACATTGGGGCTATCCTGGACAGGAATGGACTGCGCCCATCAAGATACTATGTGACTAAACAAGGCTTCATGGTCATGGCAAGTGAAGTTGGAGTCAGTACATTCCCTGATCAAGAAATTGTACAGAAGGTAACACATGAAATGTTCAAGATGGATATTAAGTAAATTGCATAATATTAAGTTAATTAATTCATAAAATCCCTCAGTGGTGCATTACATTTATGGTTTGCAGGGTTTTCTCTAAGGTTTTAAGTAGCTGGAGCTTTTTTAAAGGTAAATGGTAAACGGTATTCATATCTCAAAATCCAATATGGTGGACAAAAGGTCATATTGTTTGTACTTTCCTGCCACCACAGCAAGATTTGTCAAAAAGACAGTCCCCATGATTAACTACCCTTGAGTCAGAAGTCTTTTATGTTTTCAGAAAAGATAGGCAGTGCAAATTTATATTTTTATTGAGCCCAAGTTTAGACCTGATAAACATCATCTCTGTACGGGCTCTCGAAGCAATGAAAGTAGCAGGTGAAACCTTGCAGAGAAGCCAGCGTACTTCGCCAGCTGCTAGGTCTTATCTACAACCCTGGGTTTGGCTCTTAATCATTTCACTCCACTTCACTTCACTTGACTTCACTTGGTTTTTAGGGGATTTTTCATGGAGGGGGAAAATTTGAGAACCTTGAAAAAGACTTGGAACCAAACAGCAAACTCAACCTACAATGGATGCCAGGTCTGGGAATCAAACCCAGGCGCAACCAGTATGATTCTACTGTTGTTTCCATTACACCATCTAGAGTGCTCCTCAATCGGGAGAAGTATTGTCCAATTGTCTTTGGCTTGTTAGGAAGCTAGTCCATCAAAAGTTACCACAAGCAGTTTGTCTGGTTTCAGCTCAAAAACTGACTCCATCTATGCTTGCTGACAGAGACAAAAGTTCACTGAATGTAAATCAAGGTGACTGAGGTCTTTTCCAAAGCTTCTGCTACTGCTGTGCTAGACTAAAATGAAACTATCAATCCCTCAATATGAATACATCATGATAATTTAATCAGGCATGACTAGAGCATGCCATTTCAAAGCATGTTTGGATCCTGCTAGACAACTTATAGATGTGCCTTGATTCAATCGTGCCAATGGGATGGTTTCAAGCTTTGCTATGCTCAATTCAAATATAATTTTAAAACAATTGGAGAAGCTTGATAGTTGGAAAGGCCTTAGACTATAGAATCTTTTTCTTTTCCAAGGGTCGTTTGCAACCTGGAAGAATGCTTCTAGTGGACACAGAGTTGGGGTCTATTGTGGAGGATCATGAGCTGAAACACAGAATGGCCAGTCTGCGACCTTGCGGTGAGCTGCTGAAAAAGAATGTGCGAACTTTGGAAGATATTCACCAAGCCTACCAAGCTTCAAAGAATCTTTCTGCAGACAAAGTGCCTTTGATCCAGCCATCCTCACAGAATGAGTTAATCCACAGAGACAAAAGACTGCCAATGTTTGGTTATTCCTTGGAAGATCTGAACATCCTAATTCTGCCAATGGTTAAAAACAAGTAAGTGGAATTTCAAGCCTTTCTTCATCAACTATGTATTGAGAGAAATTTTAGTTGGCCACAAATTTATGAGTGGAAAATAATTAGACAGTCATGTAAATGTTTCATTCCTCAATTGAAGTGGAGGCAATAGGAATGATGAGTTAATGCATAAAGCCATGCATTATGATTTTTAAAGAGGTAGTTTTTCAGGTAATGTAAAGTCAGAGTGACCCTTTAACTCCCAAGATCTGATTATTAATTCTCCCCTCTAGTTGCTAATCAGTCTCTTCTAAATTAGTTCAGAGAATTTGGTCTTAAATGAAGAAAAACAACTTCTATTTGATAAGTTTAAGTATTCTCAATACCTGTTTGCTAGATAGTGTATGGATATTATAGGGAGAAGTTACTTCTTAATCACTTCTGAGAGTTAAATGGTTAAGAATGTTAGACTAGTGTGCAACCCATGATAGGGTTGCATACCAGACAGGGCTCCAGTATCAACTTCTTTTCTAAGTTGCTATTTGGCAACCTAAAATAAAATATGGGCACCAGAATTTAAATATCTGTCCCTGGAAAAAGGAAGAGAAACTTGCAGGATATTGTTTTTAGAGGTCCAAGTGACATCTCTAGACTTGAGACTTAGACAACTGTGGATAAGATGGTGAATTTGTTTTTATGAGAGAAAATGTTGGAGCATTTCTCTTTTAGTGCAATTTTATGCCAATGTTTATTCAATTTTAACCTTGCAGCTTGCTGTAGGTCACCAAATTAGCTAATTTAGCTGCAAAGTTAGTTACCAAAACTTTTCTGTATCTTTCTTATTAACCAAAATGGTGGCAGTTTAAAGTATTACATTCAGGTTATAGATAGCTCTTGCTAGCAGTCTTTGGTCTTACCAGCTAATTGGTATTTGGTAAAGAGTTTCTTTTATTTAGTACTCTGATTGTTGATTAGGAAAGAGGCTCTTGGTTCCATGGGTAATGATGCACCCTTGTCCTGCTTGACAATGCACCCACAGTTGGTATTTGATTACTTTAAACAACTCTTTGCGCAGGTATGTTGTAACAAATTTGAGATTTTCTAATCTTAAGTCATTATATCTTCTCTAAGCTCTCAGAGAAAGCATGCCAACATCTATGTTTTCGTCATAGCAAAGTTATGCTACCCTTTTCCTACAACAGTTTGTCTTACTGCACATAAGAAAATCAGGGTTTTTAAGTACATTGATGCACAACAAATGGATTGCAGATTTTCTGTTTAGATTTGTTTTAGACTGGAACTGTCCAATTTGTTGTGAGGCCTGTTTAAAGGTTCTCTATCTTTACCCCATGGTCATGTAACATTTGTTGGGGGAGATGAAAATATATTAGGAGTGTGTAAGCAGAATTTTCAATCATCATGTTATTTGAAGTGTGCAAATGTGTTGAAGCTGGTTAGTGGCATATTGGCATGAATATAGACTGGTTCCAAATCTTTTTTCTATCAGCCTTCAACTTAAACTTCACCCTTTTATCTTTGCTTAAGATACTTCTTAAACCCCCTGACATGTCAGGGTTTTTGGTAAATAGCCATGATAATAGTATAGTGTTTTGTGTATGTGTGATGATGGCTTCATTTTGGTTTAGGTGACAAATCCTCCAATTGATCCAATTCGTGAGAAAATTGTCATGTCACTGGTGAGTCTTTGGCAGCTTTTTCAAATTTCAGTTTGAAGTTTATGTAAGAGTTTTACAGTGAAAATGCTCCTCAGCAAGGGCACCTTTATGGAGTGACTCTTCCATTGTTTCCAGGGTCACATTTGAATCTTTAGCATTAACTATTAAGTAAGGAGGAAAATTAAAGGTGCTGGAATAAGACTCTGGGAATAGGGATGAGAGCCAACAAAAACTTCAACCCAAATATGATTTCAAGTCTAGAATTAATCCTGGCAGTGGTGATTGACAGTAACCAGTCTCATGACTGTACCATCCAGACTCACCTTTGTTAGAAAGTTCACTACTACTAGTGTTTTAAGACAATTGGAAATTCCATTTTTCATGTGTTGTGTTGTTAACTTCCAGCAATGAATTATCATAATTGTATCATTCATTTCAAGGCATACCCAGTTGGACCTGAGCCAAATCTTCTTGACCCTGATGTTTCAGACTGTCCACGTGTGTATTTAGAACACCCAATACTTTCTAATGCTGATGTGCAGGCAATTAAAGAAAGTGGTCTATCCTGGTGTAAGGTTTGTACACACAATTTATAAATTGCAAATTTATTTGAGTTGTAGAGGGTTATGTTTGTTGTGTTTAAGCAAAGAACACGGTTTTAAAAGAACATGAAAAACTTTGATTGTAGATTCACAACTACTAACTTATTTAATTTACATTAACCTAAATAACATGGACAACTAAGTTTATATACATATACATATACATATACATATACATATACATATACATATACATATACATATACATATACATATATATATACATAACTTTACATAACGAAAGGTGATCACAATAAATTATTTGCAAGTTAACAATACATGATCAACACTAAGTTGTATTTGGCCTATTAGCAATCAACACCACAGTGTTCTAATAACAGGTCTCCATTTCAGACACAGACCATTGACATGGTGTACCCTGTAAAAGATGGAGTGAATGGTCTTGTTCCATCACTTGATAGAATTTGTAAAGAGGTAAGCCCACTGTATAATTAGACTATTTGGTCGAATTATAAGTGTTACTTAACTTACAAGTGTTACTTTACTGTTACTGGACTTCAATTGTCATTACAAATTTTGGTACCCTTGAAGTATATGTTCTATGCCAATAAACAGTGTATGGTGAACAGTTGATAAAATACCCCCCAGATCAAGGGTATGAAAGGGTTTAAGGTAATGGAAGGCTGGTGGCATATCTTTAACATTTAATCGGCCACTTTTCTAATTGTAAGGTATTATCTTTTTCTTTTAACATACATTAATCTTGTTTTTCCCTCTTTTTGCCCCAAGGCATCTGAAGCTGTGGAAAATGGATGTGCTTTTCTTGTGTTATCTGATAGAGCTGCTGGAAGGGAACATGTACCTATGAGGTGATGTTAAACTGTTTTTACTGGATTTAAAAAATAAAAGAGGTGGTAAAAACTAAAAAAAGGATGCAGTAAATTATTAGTTAACACACTTAACTGCTGGTTCCTTGGGTTGTCTTTGATACAAGCAATATGTCTGCTCATTTGCCTTAACTCAAACAATCTTGGTGTAAGGGACAAACTTAGAAAAGAAATGGTGCAAAAGCAATATTTTATTGACATGTTCTTCTCAGTTTAACTAAGAAGGAGACTATGTAGTGAAAACATTATGGCTGGCTATGTGATGTGTGAACACAAGTTGTCAAGTTGGTGACTTTCTTTGCAATTTCAGTCATGGAATCTTTTTTCAATTGTTCTAGGGGACCATTATTAACTGCTGCATGCTTGAAAGGCTATCTTGTTTTTCAAATATGCATAATCATGTTCTTTTCCAGGCTATCCAGGCTCTTTGTGTATTTTAACAGAGTTGTCAGTGAATTGAAAGACTATCAACAGCCTGTTTCACCATGAGTGTCCATACATTTTGCAGAAAGAAAGATGGTTCCTATGACTATATACAGCATCACTTAATCCTTTTTCACTGTTTTTATTGTAGTTCATTACTGTCATTGGGGGCAGTTCATCATCATCTCATCAGAATGAAGCAAAGGTCACAGGTTGGACTGATTGTTGAGTCAGCAGAGATAAGGTAGGGTCTTTTTCCTCATGTTTTTCATTTTTTTATTTTCACAGTCCAAAAACAGAATGACTCTGCTTTACTTTCCCTTCCTCAAAAAGTACTTTGATAGAATTGTTTGTTTGTTTTACTCAGTTTGTTTTAACTTGTATGTCACATAATATGATGCCAATTTCACCAGCTATTTTTTTGTGCAGGGAAATCCATCACTTCTGTGTTCTGCTGGGTTATGGTGCTGATGGAATTTCCCCATACTTGGTTTTCGAGACTGTTGTAAATCAGCGACAGCAAGGTATACAATAAGACAGTCAACTGTGTTTACTCTCATTAGCAAGTTGTTCACAACAATTTTCTGGGTGAGGTTGGTCTTATTGACCAACATTTCAACAGCTAGAGAGCAAGTCCTCATTTTAAATATGTACTTATTTATTGAATGGGAGGGCAGAACTGCTTAATATGTGGCTCTAATAATGATCATGAATTACTGATCGAGTGCAACCTTACTCAGTCAATAAGTGTTAAATCATATGAGCACTAATATGTTAAAAAGTTTTTCAATTAACTTTGAAGCTGAACAGGACTTGGTTTCATAATAAGAAGGGCACACTGGACAACTGCATAAATATTTTATGATCAAAACTTTTTCTTTATTTCTTTGATTGAAAACAAGAATGCAGCAATTCATTTTAAGTTCAAGTTTAGAATTAAAATTCATTTTTCCTGAAAAATGCAACAAAGCCCTGACATTGTGGGGCTGGACAACTTTTTCTTGGGATCATCTCATGTCTACCTTTCCAGCCCCACATGTCAACATTCATCATGATTTTCTGAGATTGTGCGCACAGGCCAGGAGAGGTTGTATGATAAAGTGCCCTACATAACTTTGAAGGTTATTTCTGATGCAGTTGTTACTGCAAGGTTCAAACTATTTACCACATTTCTTATTCATACTGTAGTTCAAATGTAGTTTTTCTGATGTACTCACTTTCAATGTGTTGTCCAAAAACTCAGGTATGCTGGATCCTCCTCTGTCAGATAAGGAAATAGTTGAGAACTATACTTTTGCTGTGAAAAAAGGTATAGCAAAGGTCATGGCAAAAATGGGGATTTCCACTTTACACAGTTACAAGGTTAGTTCATGTATTTCTGCAAAGGTGGATGTCACTGAAAGTGGCTTGTTCATAAAACCATCCATCAACAATATGTCTTCAAATTGTATTCAATATTCTTTGTCTGGTATTATATACATGAAAATTTCAAATACTGCCTGTTCACTTGGTCAACACAAAAATAATGGGAGCCTCATAAATATAATTGTTAGCTCAGGAGAGGACAGACATTTGCAGTTGTAATCTTAAATTGAAGGAATGTGATCCTCTTTTTCTGTCATGTGGAAATGGTTAGGTTTTCATGAGTTTGCTAGAGAAAACTTGTATTTTTAGACTCTTCCTCCTGGCTTGGTCATGGTTTGCATGGCCAACACCAGCTCATAAATGTATATCTACTTTCAGCCAGCATAAAAAATATGAAAACAAGAAATACAAAAATGCAAAATCACATATGAAAGAATGCTGTGTTTTCTCTTGCATCTTGCTCTCCTTTCATTGTGTGAACATGGTAAACATTTCCAAAACTTTCAGGTATTTACAGCTTTCTTGATATGACATTAATATTCAGTCAGACATAAACATTAGGTGTTGATTCTTTTTTAATAGGGTGCACAAATATTTGAAGCTGTTGGGCTTGCAGAGGAGGTAAAAGATATAATGACAATTATGTATCATGAATATTTATAAATTTTTAATGTTATTTAAAAGTTAACTTCATCTACTAACATTTTTGTAAAGCTGACTATAGATATCACTTGTTGATATGTCTGGTTAATAAAGAAGGTGCTTATGTTTGGTGGTTTTTTTAATGGGATAGCATTTTTAAATGCTATTGAAATTAAAATTTCTTTTCACTTTACCTAGGTGCCCAATTTTGTAATAAACACGTTGTTGTTTGCTTGAAGAAAAAAATTATTGTCTTGCAGGTGGTAGATAAGTGCTTTGCAGGAACTGCATCAAGATTGAGTGGAGTGACATTTGAAATGTTAGCACAAGAGGTGTGTAATTACAGCCCCTTTAGTGCTCAATGACATATGCCTAATCAATGATCAGTTTATTTTAAGTGTAAGATTATAATTATATTGGGCTCCCTATTTTACAGGCATTGGACAAGCACAGTATTGCATTTTCTGATCGAGAATGTGACAATGTCCTCGTCAACAACAAGGTACTCAATAGTGTTCATTCGTAGTTGGTCATTTTAACCTTTTATGCAGACCCAGGTCATGCTTCATAATACTTCCCTGGCAGATTTCAATGATACCAATACTTGTGCAATTGTCAAGAGACCACGAATCAAAGGGTTCTTCAATATCAATTGTGTTGATAGTCAAATTGATGTGAATCATGCTTTGACTGGTTTGTGTTTAGGGTGAGTACCACTGGCGGTTGGGAGGAGAAAAGCATATCAATGATCCTAGATGCATTGCAAACCTACAGGTTAGTTTGTAAAACACACTATTACTCAATTAAAGCACCTCCCTTGAGTTTTATAATGTTCTTTGGGAATAGACACAGTGTAACTTTCTCTTCCAAAGGTTTTGCCACACGTTTCTTCTGAACCATCCATCTTAAGAATGACGAGTATCTTAATTCTCCTTAGAATTTCATCGTGAAAAGTGAAGGGGATTGGTTATGAGATGTAAGGGGAGTGTCATTCAGGGGATATGGCATAGATTAGGTTATTGCCTTGATTATTTATGGAATGGAAGAGTCAGGGTGTCTGTGTTTTTTTTGTTTTTTTTTCTGAAGTATTTGATATATATTGTTTTGAACAGGATGCTGTAAGAATGAAAAGCCAACCTGCCTATCAAAAGTACAGCGAGACGTCCATTGAAGTGGTGGGTTACTGTTGCAGTGAAAAATGTTCTGCTTTATTTTAGACATATGCAAGTAGTCTTGTTTAGGCTTGTCATTTATGTTTGTCTTTAATACTCTAGGTACGTTCTTGCACCCTCCGAGGACAGCTGCAGATTAAATTTGCCAAGAAACCTCTGGACATCTCAGAAGTTGAACCAGCTTCAGAGATTGTCAAGAGATTTGCAACAGGTAGGCACAAAATTAAACCATCTGTGACAAAAGCTGACAAGCAGATAGTTAATTATGAAGTTTGTTTATAGAGCACTCTTTTGCTTTAGTTTAATTTATTTCTCAAAAGTATGTGTATAAGTGAAATAGTGCCTAAGAACTAGTTGTTTGTACGATAGTTGTCATAATGATTTTCTTTTTAGGTGCCATGAGTTTTGGTTCCATTTCATATGAAACCCACACAACTCTTGCTACAGCTATGAACAAGTGAGTAGTTGTTTGTTTTGATTCTTTTAAATTTCTCAGACAGTCAGGATTTGTTGATTTATTAGTATGTATTGAATGCAATTGAAGCCATTCTAATAGGAGGAAAGTTGTCTTTCAAACTCTTGTCAAATCACCCACTCAAACACTATTTACACATTCTGGTGAGAACACCTTTCCCTATTTAGAAGCAGACACTATATATCAGAAACTGGTTCAAACTTTCTTCTTTCTTCAAAAGTCCCTATATGTGCATGCACTCCTGATCTCACTCAATGTTTAGCAAACTTCACTTTACTTGGAGCCCCATGACATTAAAAGGGACTTCTGTTTATGAGTAGGTATATTAGTCTTCTTTTGTGAACCCAGATCTGCACTTCTTTTGTTTTGTTTAGTTTTGTCTTGTTTTTTTTTTTTTTTTTAGTTCTGTCTTGTTTTGTTTTTGTTTTTTTACGATGTATTTTGCCAACAATGACTCATTTGTTCCTATATTTGTATTCTTCTGTTGGCCATGAACAAGGAAAAATCCTTCCTATAAGAAAAAAAATGTATAATATGAAATAGCATGTGGACAGAACTTTACTTTCCTCTTCCATCAGAATGGGCGGTAAAAGCAACACAGGTGAAGGTGGTGAGGATCCAGTGAGAGGAAGTGATAACAACACCAGATCTGCCATCAGGCAAGTGGCTTCTGGAAGATTTGGAGTGAATGCATGGTACCTTGCAATGGCAGAAGACCTGCAGATCAAGATGGCACAGGTAATCTTTAAATCTCTCTCTAAAAGTATTAGTGAAATTGTGACCATGATTGTGTTTTGAGATTCACAAGAGTAATCTAACCTTTCAAAAACTGTCTTCTGATCCAATTGAAAAATGTTTCAAAGGATGCAGTCATTTTAAATCTTGCTCATCAACTTGGGTGTTCACCTGGCATGATTTGAGTCATTTTCGTCTTCTCCTTTTGGTACATTGGTCTGTCTGTGCTTAAATGTTCAAATTTGAATTTTTTTCTTTTTTCAGGGAGCTAAGCCAGGTGAAGGTGGAGAATTGCCAGGATACAAGGTATGAATGACTTTATTTACTTTATGTATAATTTGTGGGTAAATATTGCTCATAAGCTGGTCAAAATGAAGATCAGTGTGACATAAGGTTTGTGTGCACCTTGTCTGATAAAAATAAGTACTTAAAAAATTTTTATACCAAAAAAAAAGCCAAACTGGGACAGTCACCTAGATAAATCAGCTGGAGAAGCAAGGTGGAGGCACATTCCCCCCACCCTCCTTGACTTCAAGGTTTGGATCTGTCAGATTCCATTCACACGAAGCTCCTGAACGAAGAAATTTAAAAAATTAAAGTGAAGGCCTATTAGTCTAAGTCTTTCACTAAACAGGTGTTTTTTATTATAGTGAACTTCTTGCTAGGGCTCATCTTACCAGCCTGTACAACAGGTGACTGCAGGACATAGCTATTCTAATGTTCAAGGTCAAATACAGGCTGCTGCCAGTAAACATTATCAACATTTTCAGGAACTCTCCTTCAGACTACAATCTTAGGAAGTCAGACTTTTTCATCCAGAGATACAATACAGTAAGATTTAGGAAACACTTGCTAAGATTTCTTGGGCCATAACTCTGGTCAAAATCACTTACTAAGGACAGTTCAATAGTATCATTAAATGCATTTAAGTCTAGTATAAGTAAAAGGGACCTGACCGCCTTAGTGACTAAGACACGCTCCAACTTTCATCTGTGTAAATTGTGATCTAGTTGGTATTTATTAAAACACGTAGTAATTGCAATACTACTACTTATTTACCACAATTAGTTAATGTAGATAGATGTACTACAGACTAATATAGAATCCACAAAATGGATTTAACATTAACTTATTACATATAGTTTTAAAACATTTATAGTACACAGACATAATTTCATAGGTACATAATATACAGAATTTCATATTATACAATATTAGTACACAATATGTAGAATTCACAACATAGACCTAACTTTTATTTATTAGGTACAGTTTTAATGCATTCATTGTATTTTCTTATATTTGGTGGGTAGGTTTTTGAAATGTACAATTGTAAGCGTCATATATAATATATAGATCATAGCATAATATTCACAGTGTTTTTACAATTCTCGCAATTATTTTTACAATCATTTTTATCATTATTGTACTAAATAGATACACCCTTAGTTTCAGTTTGTTTTAACCATTTTTGTTAATGTTCCCAATTAGTTAGCTACATGTGGCTAGCCAGAAGACTTAGACACTTAATTAAAGTTATTGATTGATTGATTGATTGAATTTTTGAATTTTTGTAATATTATCTAAAGGCACAAATCGACTGAGTGAGGTATTAAGCATATCATAGTTTGTTTTTCTGAGCTAAAATGTGACACTTCTGATTAATTGTGTCTTGGCAGGTCTCCAAGCATATTGCTCAGACTCGCAAGTCTGTCCCTGGAGTTGGTTTGATCAGCCCTCCACCTCACCATGATATCTACTCTATTGAAGATTTGGCAGAGGTTACTTTGCTTTGAATACATTTTTTTTTCTTTTAATGCTTTTTATGTCTTATCAAAAAATTATTTTGAAAACATTTCTTGTCATTGTTTTGTAGCTTATTTACAACCTAAAATGCTCCAATCCTCATGCTAGAGTCAGTGTGAAACTGGTATCTGAAGTGGGCGTGGGTGTTATTGCTGCTGGAGTTGCAAAGGTTCGTGAACTCTTAATCAACTGATCTTTATAACAGGGTAATTTTGTATCGCCAACTGAGTTGATAATGTAAATTGGCCACAGTAAAGAGTTTAAAAGCTGACCTTTTGAGTCCTAGCCATTCATCAATCACTCAAACGAAGGGCTTATGCTTGAAAGATTGGCCTTTAAACTTTTTATAGTGGCCAATTTATGTTATCAACTCAGTTGATTACACTAATTTACCCTGTTATACTCTTCTTCTGATGCAGCATCACAGTTTCCCTAGAAACTTACTCCCTTTATTCATTGATCTTTATAACATCCTGTGCATGGTCTTTGCTTCCTGGTTGAAGTTCCAGCTTTGGCAAGGTTAACCATGTAGGTTCTACAATGTTGCACTTTGGTTGTGCAGTGCCTCTTTTCACCTTGAGATATTCATGAATTACTTTATGTTGGAAGTTTATATGGAGATGTTACATTTTCATCTCTTTTAGTAATCAAAGGGTTATTAAGTTAACCTGTTTATTTCCCTAGGGCCACTCTGAACACATTGTTATTTCTGGTCATGATGGTGGTACTGGAGCAAGCACATGGTCAGGCATCAAGCATGCTGGGTTGCCATGGGAACTTGGCCTCTCTGAAACCCATCAAACACTTGTGCTGAACAATCTGCGCCGAAGAGTCATACTTCAAGTTGATGGGCAGCTCAGGACTGGGCGTGATGTGGTAGTCGGTGCTCTGTTGGGTGCTGATGAGTTTGGATTTTCTACTGCTCCACTCATTGCTATGGGTTGTACCATGATGAGAAAGTGCCACTTGAATACATGTCCTGTTGGAATTGCCACTCAAGTAATTGCACTACTGCTTCTGTTATAGAAAAAACTGCTTTACTCAACTCTGCTTCTTAAAATTAAGTGAACGAATACTGTTCAAATGCTAGAAAAAGATACTCGATTTCTACATGGCTCCTCTATGTCAACTGTGGATAACTTGCATCTGAAATAATGTGATGAGCACTGAAGTGTGTTGTCCAACTGGTACCAGCAATGCAAGAAAAGGCCTCACCAGATTAATCCACAAGACAACCTGGACCATTTTGCTGTCATGGCACCTTATTAGGCCTAGAACTCCCTGATTTGAGGGAATCTTTTTAGCCATCTTTGGCATTCCGTTTTGATATTTGCCATAGATATCACCTCTAGCTTGATTTTACCCAGGCTTTTTTATGTCAACA